ATCCTTTCGTAAGATGTTCGGAAATAGTCGTTGCAATGCAATATGTTTGAATTACATGAAGTAGAAGGCATGATATTATCGAAAAAATAAAAATCAGCTAATTTTGATCCTTTTATGACTATGTCTGCGGATTGTTGTGATATAAATATTTTTAATATGGGATATTCGTTGATGACAAGGTATTTATAAAACACAATCGTACTTTTCTGCCCCCTGTGTCGATTTCGCAAAACACCTATTTGTATCCGGTTTTTTATATATATAGCTTCTTTGGGTATTTATAATGTAGAATAATGAAAAAAATTTCTCGAACTCAAATTTTGTGAACCAGGGGGGTGTGTCTTTTCCAACAAACTAAAAATGGCTCGCGCACAAACTTTAAAAGCTGCAATCATATTTTGAGTTAATAGATGGAAAATTTGTCGGGTTTTTAATTACTGTACAAAATTTCAGACAATTTGGATTAGTTTAAGCCCCTTAACTATTCACGCAAAGTTACATTTTTCCAAAAATCAGCTATTTGCATGCTTAATTAATGCATTTGCCTAATTTGCATATGTCAGCAATACGCAAATTAGGTAATGGCATTAATTAAGCATGCGAAAGGCTGATTTTTTAGAACAAAATGAATAGTTAAAGGGGCTTAACCAAATTGTCTGAAATTGTGTACAGTAATTAAAAACCCGACAAAGTTTCCATCTATTAACTATATTTTCCATCAAAATATGATTACAGCTTTTAAATTTTGTGTGCGAGCCATTTTTAATTTGTTGGAAAAGACACACCCCCCCTGGTTCACAAAATTTGAGTTCGAGAAATCTTTTTCATTATTCTACATTATAAGTACCCAAAGAAGCTATATATATAAAAAACCGGATACAAATAGGTGTTTTGCGAAATCGAGAGCAATTTCAAATCTGTTCAGTTTTTTTTTATACACCCTGTATATTACATCTACAATACTTTCGTTGTTTGTGGAAACACCACGTAAATTTCTTACTGCAAAGTTTTCGATCAGGGCTTACGGATATCGCTTACGTAGTGTTTCCACAAACAAAAGTATTATATATATATTGCAATGCAAACCTACAAAGAACTTATTTTATTATATACTAGAGAGTGAGATACTGAAAAATACACAGTGAGATATTTTCCATATCTTCACTACACTCCTGGAAAAAAAATATCTGTAGACTTTCTGCAAAAATAAACCAAAATTTGAAAACACATTTACATTAAATCCCCCCTCCCCCTCCTCCCGAAACAATGTTGGTTCAGGTATAAAGTGGATTTGCAGTACATGTCAAGGAGGGAGGGGGACAAATTTGAAAATTTACTAATTTTTTTTCGAGGATTCTAACGAAAATATCGATCTAGTGATTTTTAGCATTTATACAATTTTTTGCTGGGCACTACATAATATACAGAACATTAATTACACCTTGGCTTCAAGATATGACTTTCATCTTCACGTGCAAACAATATTTTACTCACTCGCTTCGCTCCTTCGTAAAATTTTGTTTTCAAAACTCGAAGACAATCAACAGCATAATCATCCAAGTTGAATGGTTATACCGAAGACAGTCAACGGCATAACCATCCAACTTGAATGCTTATACCGAAGACAGTCAACAGAATAACCATCTAAGTTGACGTTCAATATCAACGTCATAAACATCTAAGTTGAATGTTTATGACGTTGAATATCAACGTCATAAACATCTAAGTTGAATGTTTATGACGTTGAATATCAACGTCATAAACATCTAAGTTGAATGTTTATCGAAGTTGATCGTGTTTACACCAAAGTTGATCGTGTTTATGACGTCGAATATCGACGTCATAAACACCAAACTTGTTCGGGTTTATGACGTCGAATATCGACGTCATAAACACCAAACTTGTTCGTGTTTATGACGTCGAATACCGACGTCATAAACACCAAAGTTGATCGTGTTGATGACGTCGAATACCGACGTCATAAACACCAAACTTGTTCGTGTTTATCACGTCGAATATCGACGTCATAAACACCAAAGTTGATCGTGTTTATGACGTCGAATATCGACGTCATAAACACCAAACTTGTTCCTGTTTATGACGTCGAATATCGATGTCATAAACACCAAAGTTGATCGTGTTTATGACGTCGAATATCGACGTCATAAACACCAAACTTGTTCGTGTTTATGACGTCGAATATCGACGTCATAAACACCAAAGTTGATCGCGTTTATGACGTCGAATATGGACGTCATAAACACCAAACTTGTTCGTGTTTATGACGTCGAATGTCGACGTCATAAACACCAAAGTTGATCGCGTTTATGACGTCGAATATGGACGTCATAAACACCAAACTTGTTCGTGTTTATGACGTCGAATATCGACGTCATAAACACCAAACTTGTTCCTGTTTATGACGTCGAATATCGACGTCATAAACACCAAACTTGTTCGTCTTTATGACGTCGAATATCGACGTCATAAACATCAAAGTTGATCATGTTTATGACGTCGAATATCGACGTCATAAACACCAAACTTGTTCGTGTTTATGACGTCGAATATCGACGTCATAAACACCAAAGTTGATCGTGTTGATGACGTCGAATATCGACATCATAAACACCAAACTTGTTCGTGTTTATGACGTCGAATATCGACGTCATAAACACCAAACTTGTTCGTGTTTATGACGTCGAATATCGACGTCATAAACACCAAACTTGTTCCTGTTTATGACGTCGAATATCGACGTC